GATACGGAGGTGATGAACGGTAAAGGAAAGGACTGATTGATGGTTAGATATCTGGAGGGGCTGAATAATAAAGGTAATCTTCAGTTCATGGTTAGATACTTGCAGTATTTGTAGTTGATTGGTAAAGAACTGAAAAATCGAATTAGGTGAAGAATGGAAAAGGATAGCATAAGTTTAGGTTTAGGTACATAAAGCTGAGGAACCGTAAATAAAAAAACTGGTTCATAGAAAAACAAAGCAACTTAAGTTTCTTTATCACAACCTACTCCACTGATTCCATTGCCGTCCCTGTCCCACAAACCTTCAGCTCGCAACTAACTGATGTTAATATGAGTTGTGAACTCTTCTTCCTATACTTAGCCAACTCTGAACCCTATGTTTCCTTCTATCCAACGCTCATTCCTACAAGCTACCAAACAAAGACTTCTACACTTCTGTAATAACAACCATGTAGAAATCCCCCCCCCAAACTGTGAACTGCCCCGGTTACCCTGAAATGTGTGTTACTGTCCTGACATCCCTTTCGTGTATTTTCCCTATCTTGACCCCATGTCCCATTCATTGTGTTTGTAGAGCTACTTGCTTCCAGTTCGGAAATACACCACGAAATCCCATTTAGAATGTGGTTTTAGAACGTTCGCACCTCATAATGAAAGCCTCTGCGTGTGCCTCCCCTGGGAGGCAACCTGTTCGTTAGACAAACGCCATCCAGGGGGAGCATTTGTGGATTGCTTCCCACGTTGTTTGGTTCCCGAACAAGGACCTCCCAGACACCCATTGGAATGTTCACACCAATCAATTAGAACGTTGGCAACTCGCAACATAGTGTTAAATTGCAAGGGAAGTAATTAATGAATGCTTCCCTGGGTGGCTGCCATTCTTATAGGCGAACACTGGCCAGGGCGAGCATTCATGTCCCGAAAGGAGACGCTTCATTTGCCTCGTTCCACACAGGAACCCTGCGAACGGTGGCTGTTCGTTGCGGTTACCATTTTGGGGGTCCCTGAGATTGGTGGGACAATGGCGGAAGTTGGCGGGCTCTCTGTCACTGGGAGACAAAAAGGCATGAATTTTCCCACACTATGATCCCCAGGTAGAGAGAGACTTCTGGGAAGAAGACCCCGGGTAGGGGCAGGATCATGGGAGGGGACACTAAGTGGCGGAAACAGGGGACAAAGAAACTGGGGTTCTGGTTCCGTAACACGACCCCCGGGCGGGGCAGGACCCTGGGAGGGGACATTGTCTTTGTGTGTTCCACCCCTTGCATGGGGAAAGTATAAAGCCGCGTGTGGCCAATAAAATTGGTGTTGTACCCCTGGAACTGTGTGTCGTCCAGTTACTGGGAGGGAAATGGGTTTGTCCATTAAATTAATAGCGGATGTAACCAGCTGGGTCACCCATGGTCCGCTACAAACCAAATATCCTTTCTCCTCACACCTTGCTCGATCTTTGTCATCTTCTCCTGCTCTTACTCTATACTGCTGCTCTGTGTCATCTAAACAGTTCCCTTAGATTTCAGTACCAGCTTCATTATATTGACACCTCTCTTTCCTTGATCTCTTCATTTTCTCCTGGACCAGCTTCCTGTTCTCCGCCTTTCACTGGATGCCAGAATATTTTCTGAAACTCTTAACAACAGAACTACTTCCTTTTTCTCATTCAAGCAACCATCCTCCATTACCAGTATCCCTTCAGGTCAATGGTTATACCATCAGCCCTATCAAACAAGATATTGGTATCCACTCTGATTTTTACCCTTTTTCACTCCTTATTTCCAGTCAAACTCCAAATCATGGTGATTTCAACATTAAAAATTTAGCCTGTATTCACCAATTCATTTTATTTTCTGTAAAAGAATTCACTGAACTCTGATCACCTCCCAACTGGACATCTTCATCCACTCCATGTTGGCTACGGTTCTACTCTGAGTGCTCCTTACAATCTGGACTTTAACATTATAGTTCTTACCTGTAATATGTATGTCACATTCCGGCCCCTCGATCTATTAAACACTTTGTCTATGCTCTGTTCACACCTGCACCTACAACGCTCTCATAGACTTCTATTTCACTTTTTTCCAGTCTGTATCATCCTTATAGTTCCCAGCCAAAACAGACTTTTCTCTCAGCTTCAGTTTTTTTTCAGACTCCCGAAAATTCCAGTTTATTGAGAAAGCAGTGGATCCTCACTAGATACATTTGATAGGTGAAATGTAAAGGAATCAGCAAGCATCGCTCATGCTTAGTTACCTGTGGGTCTTCCTGTAAAGCAGCCTGTTTATACATCTCCACTGCGGCCGGCACATTTCGCTTCCTTCTCGTACGGTCACCATAGTAAAGATCACCCATCTTAATCTGAGCTGCAGTAACAGAGGTAATGCTCAGAAACAGCTACAGAGTATCACACAACAAAATG